GTTAAAGAATCCGAAACATCTGACAGAAAAAATATGAAAATTTTTGGGAAAAAAATCAAATTTCAAAAAATAAAAATTCTGGAGAAAGGAATTACCCACAAGTAAATCGGGCGCAGCAAATCGGGATTTCTCTGTAATCTTAATTTACGGATGACAAAACTTTGATTGGATTACGCATATGTAACAATACCTTTCCGACAAAATCACGAAAAGTTTCGATTCAAACTGGTTCGTTCCACTTCATATAATATAATTGCAACAAATTATAAATTGATGAGATCATATTAGACCCATAAACCCCATAAATGATGATTCGTTCAAGGCCGGTGACGAAGTTAAATTATATAATCAGTTATATTTGATTTTCCAGTCATTCTATTGCTGCAATTCTAGATTCATCGGTGTGATTTTAATTGGTTAAAACTATTCTTTATTAAACCATTACCAAGTCGATTGCTATTATAGGGAGCACCATATTTGTTTTGGCACGTGATTTGACACGTGATTCAGGGTTTTGATCGGTTAATGCTGGAAGCTGACTGGTTGATGCAATGTCACGTGTCGAAAAGAACATGATTGAACACCTTGTTCCAGTGTTTAAGATTTTAGATCTATCACCTGCAAGCATCAACATTCGAAAAATAATTGTAAATACTTTCAAAATCCTTGAAATGCCTGCAAATACCTTGAAATCCTACAAACAAAATAAGAAACCTACAAAATACAAATGCCTGGCAATGTCTCAAAACTGTCTCCTATTTAATATTTAATACCCATAATTTGATCACAGTTTTGCATAAATCTGATTTGGACAATTATCTGAAAAATACTGAAAACTTAAAAAAAATAGCGTTATTTAAAAAAACTAGTAAGTTACTCATTTTCTTACTTGAGGCAATCTCTTGCCAAGAAAGGATATCTTAACCCATTAGGGACGATAGGGTCGTTTACGACCCACCTTTTCTAGAGGCTATAGAGGACAAACCAAAATACTAAATGCCGCGAATCTTTCGCACATATGCTCAAAATTTATTGGGCTACATTATTGACTTTCCAGTCGAGACCCAATTAATCACTAACAACTAAATAATTAGGCTAATTAGTCGCCATAATTGGAAAATATTTCACTTAACTTCTTGCCTTGATTGGGACATTTAAACTTTATGTAGGCTTATTTTGTTGACGACAAAATAGTTGCGGGCAACGATTCCCTTGAGACATATGAAAAGCCCGTGATAATAAGATGTTCACAAACAGAGCTAGACGCTGTTTACTAACTGCGGTCGCATACGACCCACTCGTCCGGGTCGCAAACGACCCATCACGGTTTTTCGGCTTAAACTTCTGAAACAAAGACGTTAGGATAAAATAAAAACTGTAGCATAAGTTTAAAAAATATGGTCAATACTGTGTGACTCTAACTTTTAAAAAATAACGAATTTGGGTCATGAACGACCCACTCGGCTCACTTGCTTATTACTACATATGTCCATGTTACTTCTTGAATTCAGCTTAAAACATGACATCATAAGTGCAAAATCGCCTCTCAGCAAGTGATAATCATCATAAACTACGAAAAATCGGTAAAATGGGTCATTAGCGACCCACTAGGACCACAAAATTTATTAATTAAATATAATGTTGTCAAACTTTTACAAATATTAGTATAAAAACATGTTATATCTTGGTCATTACTCCTGTACGTTGATTTACCTTTTAAAATCGATCAACTGGGTCAATAACGACCCACTTGGAAGTTGAACCACGTCATCAATTATCAGTATCATGCTGCTCCACCATCAAGAAAGACACACGTCGGTCTTAATTCCACGCAAACCACGGTGGCTGACAACTAGCCCTTCTGATATCCAGGGCCAACTGAAGGGCCGTCATCACTCATCAAAGAGCTGCGAGAATAACACTACTGCATATGCCTGGAGTTGCGTCCTGACTATGGTGCGTGGAAATCTGTACCGAAAGGACCGTGGCCGTGCCGCAAAAGAAAAGGAAATCGGCCCTCCTTCCTAACTTGCTAGGTTAGCCATGCTGTTGTTGTTGCTTATTAGATTCTGTTACCTTTTTCGTCAATTTCGAATCTTGGTAAACGACCTGCTACAACCCACCGCTTGAGACCCAGGGTCCCACGGTGATCAGATCATGTCACTCAAGAAAAATCCCCTGAACGAAGTATACGAGATATGCTGTAACCTTGGGTAAATACTGAAAGACGAGTGGTCAAATTGCATAATCTAATCCAACATGCCAAACTGTTTGAGGTTCCTAGAAAGTACGAGAATAACTAAACAACTGATGCATTCAGATTGCTACATCTACAGCTCTGTGAAGGACAGGGAAAAAGCCCCCCCCCCCCCCCCATCTGGCTGGCGGTGCTGCAACCTGCAATCTCTCAGACCTCGTTGTGGGTAACAAACCCCGCAACAACGAAGCAGCTTTTAAAAAACGAAAAGAAGTATCACGTAATCGGCCGAGAGGGAAGGGGTCAAGGGGGGTTTCCATATGATTACGCCTGTGTAATTTTGACATAATAGCTATGTGGTGGGGGGGGGGCGTAAAAATTGTCCAATAAGTGATTACGTAATATATGAACGGCCTCTAAGAAGTAAAGAAATGAAGCTGCGAAGAGAGTAGATGCAGCCATCTGAAATCTGAATCCAGCAGTTGTATAGTTCTTCTTGGACATTCTAGGAATCGGGAAAAGATAGGCATGTTGTTTGCTGTCTCGCGACATTACGGTCGTGTTCTAACAGCTAATTAACTCGCCTACCTATCAATCCAATTCTGCCCATTATTATATTTGTCAGTGATTGGGTGACGTGATCTGCAGATCACCGTGAGACTCCAAATCTCAGGAGGGCTAGTGGTCAACCAACCGTGGTTTGCGTGGAATTAAGACCGACGAGTGTATTTCTTGATGGTGGAATAGCATGATACTAATAATTAATGACGTGGTTTAACTTCCGAGTGGGTCGTTATTGACCCAGTTGATCGATTTTAAAAGTTAAATCAACGTACGGGAGTAATGACCAAGATATAACATGTTTTAACTTATAATACCTTCCGGGAATTATATCCACTAAAACTCGGGGACACCGAGGGCTGATAATTTGCTCATTTTTCCCGCAAGAGAAGCGAGGGTATTATCAGCCCAGACTCAGACTGGCTGGCGGCAAGTTTCAAAACAAATAACACTGGCGTTCTATATATTAGACACTATATTGTATGATGCGCACGTATCGGATTACACCCCTTCTGCAATCGGAACCGGAACGTATTATAAAATATAATACCTCCGCAACTTCGTGCCCGCAAATTCCCTCCAGCAAGCTGTCGGGAATTATAGCGCGCAGCACTCAGTGGCGGAGGTATTATAGTATTATAACATACTAATATTTGTAAAAGTTTGACAACATTATATTTGATTAATAAATTTTGTGGTCCTAGTGGGTCGCTAATGACCCATTTTACCGATTTTTCGTAGTTTATGATGATTATCACTTGCTGAGAGGCGATTTTGCACTTATGATGTCATGTTTTAAGCTGAATTCAAGAAGTAACATGGACATATGTAGTAATAAGCGAGTGAGCCGAGTGGGTCGTTAATGACCCAAATTCTTTATTTTTAAAAAGTTGGAGTCACACAGTATTGACCATATTTTTTAAACTTATGCTACAGTTTTTATTTTATCCTAACGTCTTTGTTTCAGAAGTTAAAGCCAAAAAACCGTGATGGGTCGTTTGCGACCCGGACGAGTGGGTCGTATGCGACCATAGTTGTATCTTTTAAAGTAAACGAGATACAGATTAGCTTTTTTGGATACCTCATTTTTGCTGTAATGTGACCTAGTGTGTTAAACGGCATCAAAATCGGCAAACTTTAAAACTCGTCGTCCCTAATGGGTTAAAATATCACTTACTTTGGATTTACAGATACTTCTGCACTTTCGGATAATTCGTTGAGGTTCTAGAACATTTAGGGAGGGTTCTATATAATATTTAAAAAGTAACAAGAGTCACATAATATTATGATTAAAATTGTTATTATGTAATTAACATTGTCATGTGAATTATCGCCATTAATCCATTAGAATCTTATAGAAACTATGGTATACTCTCCTTCCTTCGTTTGGTGAAAGTCATGGATCAGACAATACTCGAAAACAAGAGAAAAAAGGAAAGAAAAAGACTAAAATAAACACCCAACAAACATCCAACAAACACCTAACCAACAGCCTGATCGATCATGGAATCGAAAGCAAGCTACATATTATCAATATTAATTAATATATACATATACAATATTAATTAATATCACATATTAATTAAGAAGCTAACTTGATTCTATACAGAGACGAAATAAAGCCACTTAAAATGCGAAATCGATACGGAACTGGAATTTTCGGCAAATACTTGATTATATATGTAACGAATAATTAATCCCCGCTAATCTTAAATTAATGGTTACAGGGTTCCGATAAATTCTTACCTTTTAATTACCTAGTAATAAACCATCTAGGCTGTTATACCTGAAGTCCTGATCTTACCAAGTGAGGTGCTAATCATAAAATGTAATCAACGAAATTGGCTAGGGTCCCAGGCCAATTTCGTTGTTGTTAATTTTATGTTGCAAAATACTGATAGCACCGGTGAAACATATTTTTATCGTGAATTTGAAATACAACGAATCTTGCAAATTAATTTTGATAATATGGCGCAACATTTGTCATAATTCATAATAATTGTGTGGAAGTCGGAAGGAATTTTACCGAATTCATGCTTCTAGAACTCAAGAGAACATTTCGATAGTGTGAGTAACTCGTCCTCACCCAAATCACATTATCACGTACTGTAGATTTCTGTTGCACAATCCAACACAGCGGAACAGCCCCCCCCCCCCCCCCCCCCATATCCTCCTCAATAGATACAATTACATCTACCAATTTATACCTATCTAAGGATACTATATAAACGTATATTCTAACCTGCATTCTCTCACGCATGTTGCGTTGTCTGCAGCGCTGCGCGTAGTAAAACACCAGCCATCCTATACTGACAGTCATGAGGGTGACAAAGGCCACTGTGACAAACAGAATAGCCATACTGGACATGGGGATGGTTGAATTGTTTTCTGTGTCCCTCTGTGTTTCCACCTGATAAAAATTTATTTGTTCCACCTGTCAAATAATTATGTGTTCCAATAAGGCGAATTAAAGACAAAACCCTTTTCAATCATATCATTCCTTTGAAAAGGAGAACAGTCTGCAAAAGTCACCCAACAATTTCGGGCATTTGGGAATTTTACAAATGTAGCTGAATTGATGACAGCACTGTAATACTGCATCGGTACTGACATGGCACTTACTTCGATCTTGCGCAAAGTCCCATTATTGCTGACTAGTTTTTTGAAATTAAGTACAGTTTGAGAATCTTCTTTACGTCCATTATAGTCCAGTAGAACAAAATTTGCACCATCAACTTTACGGATAGGTTCTTCGTCCCTGAAATTTAACGAAGTTAGGATGTTGTAGTGTTGTACTATCAGTATTCCGTAGCAAAATAAACTGATTACTGGACGTGTAATCTCCACAAGTCAAGTTTTCCAACGAAAATAATCATATTAAAGTCATGTTAAATTATAGATGTAAACTAAATTTGATAACGTTGAATTAAACGACGAAAAATCACATACAGACATAAAAGGTAATTTTGATTCCCCAAAAATTCTATCCACAATGATGATAATATAATATTTGAAATAGCATTAAAATTTGAATACATTCACATACCTGTTTAACACTAAAACAAAATGGCTGATTGAGATACTCTTAAGGTTTTTAATGACATTTAGAAATTGACAATCTGAATCACCAGGCCAGTCGATGAAGGTAATGAATTTGTTAATGTTATCACCACTCTTCTGAAGAATTATATAATTAATTAGAGTTTAATAGTTATACCTACTTACTTCTAGTTAAAATAGAGACGAATATTGTCAATTAATAGCAAAAAAGAAGCTGCAGAGCTATGAAACTACTAGAGCTAGAGACTGCGATTCAAGTTCAATTTAATGTTTTCGAGAACACATGAGTTGAAATAACAATAATACCTCCAAGCCATGGATTGTAAGGTTCTTTTTGCATCCAGTGGAATCATCTAGTTTAACAAAATATCCTCTGAAGTTGTCATCTAACTTATCATACCCTGAAAATTAAATTTATGATAAAAACTATATGTTCACAAACGTTCCACTGGCAGATAGGTTGTTGCATTAACTCTCAGTACCTAACGACATTTTAAAGTGAATAAAAAATGATAAATTTCGTTTGAATATAGACATTATACATACCATCTGGTAGACTGGCAGTAAACCTGTCATTTTCTCCAACAGTAATCACCAGTTTTTTAGTTAATTCACTGGCCCCCAAACATTCCGCAAGAATCACAAAGAGTCCACTCAGTGTCAATAAACTCATAATAACTAGGTAAAAGCAGGTTAAAAGTGGAAAATTGGGATATCAAAATAAAATATCTTATAATTTACAATTAAAATAATCATATAATAATCATACCATGAGTATGATATTGGGCAATATTAGTCATTTAAAAGTCAAATGCCTTAAAAATTTGAATATTTAAGTCAAATCTGAATATTTAAGTCAAATGCCTTAAAAACTCAAATCAATAGCAATTGATAGTGATTTGTAAAATCATGACTTTCAACTTCCATCTAATGGAGCCCGATTATAATTCAAGGGTCTAAATTTGGTAAAATGTGATAATGAAAAAAAGGGGTTTGCTGAAGATTAGAAAATTATTCAAAAAATACACATTGATACATTAAGGCTAGGGGGCCAGGGGGGTTTTCGTCAAAATTCTCTCGAAATTGATTTTATAGTTGTTTCTGATAGAAGGGAGGGATATCTATCAGCTGCTTTTGGTCCGATGAAAAAATATTGTTCCGATCCGAAATTATCGTTGGTCTAAGGTCAGCGCTTATGTGTAATTGTATTGCGCAAGCAATTTTCAATCGCGCATCCTGAAAAGCAAGTCTAAAAATCTATCTTCTCCTACATTTCTGGACCTGGAAAAATCGTCAAAAAATGAGGTCCAAGAACATGAATGATCCTTAGAACATATCCTGAAAGTATCAGGGTGATTGCTCAAAAAATGTAGTAGAAGATAGATTTTTAGACTCGATTTTCAGGACGCGCGATTGAAAATAGATCGCGCAATACAATTACACATGAGCGCTGACCCTTGACCAGCGATAATTTCGGCTAGGAAAAATATTATTCCCCCGGTCCCCAATTGTTGTTGTCTATGGTACATAATTATATAGAGTTAGATACCTTCGAAAATACAAATTGTTGTGTCAGTGGGATAGAAATGATCTTCAATGAGAATCTCAAGTTGAAAAGCAATTCAAGTAGCGTCAAGGAGTACAAGTCTTATAATAATAATAATAATAATAAATTAATGTTATTTTTATACAGCACCAATAGGTTAAATAATTTAAATTTAACCCTTATGCTCAGCTGTAAATGATACCTAAATGACAGTAGAGATCGTGCATCTAGCCTTGGACAGGAGTAAAAACGGAAGTTTATAGCTGCAAGTAAAATCCTGACTAAATAAGGCAGATACACCTAACAAGAAGATATCCAAGAAAGGTTAGCAGGTTTTCTAACAAAACATAGATGATGACCAAAAGAAATCTATGTATGAGACTCATCAGACTAACAAAATGATATATGTAAGATAATAAAGATGAAAAATCATAAAATATTAAAATTTCTATATATTATTAAATCAAAGTTCTAAACAAGGGATAGTTAAAAAACAACGCCCAAGTCTAATCTTTCCCTTAAACAAAAACTAAAAATTAAAAACTTCATTGCAATTTCCGCCAATATCTCTTGTCATAACTCAAATTACGGAGATAATGCAGGTCAAAGATATTATTCAAATAAAGATTTCTTTTACATAAATCATGCACAATCAGCGAGAATAGATTGCTTTGGGGTCTTCCTCTTCTCCCTGGTAATTCCAGTGTATTGATGGCAAAAATGAGGAAAGAAAACGCTGGTCCGTCAATAGGACCCCGCAAAACATGTCCTAACATTCTCCACCGACTACGGGCCACTTTTTCTGACAATGGTTCAGCATTGCAGCGTTTATACAAGTTTTTGTTGGAGATGACTCCTGGGTACTTTATATTCAAAATAGTGCAAAGATGTCTGCAGTGAACAACATCTAGTTTTTCAAGGAATATTTTGGGGACGGCCCAACAGGATGAGTTGTACATAAGAACCGATACGACTAAAGCATTATACAGTATTAGACGTTTGTTTAGGGGCAGTTTATCACTCCAGGCCTTCTTGTAATTGTTAAAGGCAGCATATCCCAGGTTTATGCGACGCTGAATATCAGCTTTGCTACACAAGACGGACCCTAGAGTGATACTTTTCCTCCATGCTTCATTCCCCGACACTAATTTTCCATCTCTGTCGACTTCACCCGTACTAGCTAAATAAACATGAGTGAAGTCCGTTTTGTCTTCATTGACAAAGAGGTTCCATTTCTCGAGTATAGCTGTTGCCTGGGGCAAAATAGCTCTCAAGTTGTCTTTCTCTTAATCATTGAAGTCAACATCATCAGCATATTCAGTGTCAAGTGGAAGGCCAGCAATAGTAATCGGGGGGATCGGCCTATCTAAACTGATTGTTATAGTCCATCTAAGTTCATTCAAAGCACCAGCCAAGACAAGGGTGAACAGACAGCCGGATAGACTATAAGAATATATATAGAACTCTAAATATACAAACAATATGAATACTTCAATATTTGTAGTATGACAGTATATAAGAAGTTATTTAATTTTGCTTGGGCTGTTGTGTTGACTGTTGGGGTTTAGTGGTGGTATGGAATTTGAATTTTATATAAATTTACACTATGAGGTTGGGGCATTTTGCATAGTAAATATGGTTACTACTCCTATATATCATATTATTTGATTGGTATTCGATTTCTGATTATTTCCCTAGGAATATGATTATTATATCTCAATTTGGCTTTAGGTAGGGTGCCCTGCTAAAAGAACTGGATTCTTCCAGGAAGCATCCCGTGCACAGAGCTTGGTCTACATATATATTAAATTATTAACCATTCATTCTGTATGTGCACGAAAATTTATTTCAATCAATCAATCAATATACAATACAAAATTATTAAAAAAAGCTTACTGCAGAACAGTAACTGACGTTACAGAAAATCCAATACAGTCATGTCAAATTATCTGGGCAACATACAAGAGATTGTACAGGTGAAGTTGTACATGTGAAACTAACAGTGGGATGATCATACTTATTGATGTGTATAGACCATCTTACACTAAAAGGTACACTGAGTGCCATTTCTGAGAAAAATTAATAAGGTAAGCCATGAACCCCCTGATAATCAGAGGGGGTTCCAAAGACCTAAATCAGTTTGGTCTAATTCGATGTGTAACACTATAGAGATCTCTGTGAGGAGAGAGTACTTCAGTCAGAGAAAGGTTCCTTTGTCCCACTAGTATTTACACCATCTGAAGGTATGGGACCACTCTGCACTGTGTTCGTATCTCTGAGATGAAAGCTGACAACAACAAAAATAAGCCAATAACCATGTCAAAAATCACATCATAACACGATTCAGGTTTGATCAGCTACGAAGTACATCATAGCACTCAGGAGAATCAGAGGAGGACAAACAGCTCAGCATCTTGGACTGAATGATGTATCCTTAAATCTCATCCCTCAGAAGATGAGCTATGAGGTCTTCTAAATTTGTTTATAATGTAAATTTTGTAGATAATTTATTGTAGCTTTTACATTGTGTAAAATTTTACAGACGAAATGATCCCAGGGAGGACTCCAAATCCACTGCTTCGGCGGTAGCAGTAGAAGAGCCAATTTGGTCTACTTGCTCATGTGAGGTGTCTCAGCTACATGGGTTGGGGTCTCCCTCCCCCCCCCCCCCCCCCCCCCCCCCCCCTTTTTTTATGTGTAACACTGTAGAGAACTTACAATCAAAGAGAAATACTAGACCATGTGGTAGGGTTTGAATTCCAATGCTGTCTACCAGTGGCGTAACGTTGCCTGTTGGCGCCCCCCGCCAAAAAAGCGCCCCCCTGTTGGCGCCCCTCCCCTTTTAGTGCCCCTCGCTAAAATTGAACAAATTAGGTGATTTTAGAGAATACGCCGGTAAAATCTCTAAAAAAGTGTGTATCTAGAGCAAAACGCACAGTTTTGCTAATACTTTAGTTCGGTTTTCGAAATTGTCCCACATTCAAACGACGATTTGGCGCCCCCTAAGACGGCCCCTCCCCGCAAATCTATGTAATGTCTCCTTGGTCGACTCAGTTAAATGATCGAAAACGTGATTGAGGTGTTTTTATCGCCATTTCGTAATGTTACGCCATTTAGTAACGTTGTGCCCGGAATTTATGGACTGTGAGCTGTGCTTGGCAAGAAAATGTCAGACAAGTTTCAAGTTGTGTAGTACAAGGATACAAGGATACAAGGATACAAGGATACAAAAGTGATAATTACTTTATTGAGTACACAATAGTTGTAATTCTGAAATAATTTAAGTTACACAATTCTAATTATTTACAAGTGTGTAGGGATAATTTAGAAATGTTATATAATGCTAGTTTTAGAAAAATAGATAAATCGAGTTTGTATGGTTCAATCTTATTTTAAGGTCCTATAGCATTATGCACTTGCCAGTATTTGAGTGGAAATCTGGGCTCTCATAATAGGCTGTATAATTTTCGTTCACAGAGAGAATTGAATGGATTGCTTATTTATTTTAAAGAAAAAACCACGGATAGTTTTAAATTTACATAGTCGTATAACTATAATCAAGTTAATCCTGTTTTCAAGAATGCGCGGCTTTGGCGGCCAGTTATTGACTTGTACATAAAATTGTATTCCTCACATCTGGAGGAATGTCCAAAGAGTGTAAGCAGTTCGTCAACAGAGTAGCAGACCTCATTGCAAGAAAAAGGAAGGAAAGGTACTGCGATGTAGTAAGACACGTGAGAACTAGGATAAGATTTGCAATGTTGAGAACAACTCTTATTGCTCTACGAGGGTACCGAGGAAAGAAGGTGGACACCAAACGTGAGATTCAGCTATCAGAAGTTTCATACAACCTCATCCCTGCCCCTATAATGGAGTAGATCATGTGTTTTGTTGAAATGTTTTTGAAAAAATTATTGGTAGCAATGAATTGTGCTCTGCCAATTGCAACACTTAAAATTTGATTGTGCTCTGCCAATTGCATCACTTGATTTAATTGAATGTATATATATACTGTTTGACACACTCTTCTTCTTTTACAAAAAAAAATAGAAATGTGAATGTATTAAAATTTAAAACTTTCAAAACGGAGGCTTATGAATATTATTATATTATGATTGTAAAATAAAGGATA